TCGGTAAATACTCAGTGTGAACTACACATTTTGTTGCTAAAGTAAGATGCTGTTACCAAACTTAAGAAGTAACATGAACAAATAACCTATACGGCTAATCCAAGTACTAAAATGTGGTGAAAGAAATACTAAAACCAAGACATGCATCAGAGAAAACCACACCAAAATAATAAATCGTAAAATAAACAATTTGATTAAATTATAGGTTAGGAAAAATGGGAGGATTATACACTGAAACACAGCTGGGAAACGGCTCAAGAGGAGTTAAAAAATGACTAAGTGGCACAGGCAAACAAATGAAAATGAACACCTAAAGGAAGGGACAAATTAAAGTGCACACACACTACAGTACAGTGACATCCTCATGCAAAGCAGGAGTGTTCTAAAGTCAGAATAATAAATACTTAATAAACTAAAATCCTGGGTAGTTCAAACCAACAATCAAGCCCACTCCTACATAATCATTTTACACCTTCAGATTTAAGAGGTATTTATAATTAAAATAAGATCAAAAGGTATTTTTCTCCAATAACATGATTTTCACTATTTGAAATGAAAGCATTGCCAGAGACTAAAATCACCTGGCCACAGGTTAATAATCTTCCAAATGTATTTAAATTCAAATAATTCCAGCTATTCATAAATTATTCCAAAGAAAAACATAAACCTATCCAGATCTAAAGGCTGAGACCATAATTACCAAAGAACAAAGTCACACGTCAGCTATGTAGTTAAACACTTCTCTCACATGTTGAATATACATTCAATTAAACTGGAAAGAAAAAAATTTTTATTACTATTTTCTACTTAAAATACATAGTGTCAGTAAATAAGCTAAAAAAATAAAGACAATCTTTTCTGGTCAAAAACAGATGGGGAAAAATGGACAATTTCAGAAATGTTGGAACTGTTGAAATTGTGTAAGTATAAATTAATTAATTTGGCATAGATCCTCTCATGATCAGGTTATAGCACTTCCTTTGCTAGCATAAGGCACTAAGGTCACTGAAAATATAACCAAAAGTTAAAAAAAAAATTTAACACAATATTTAGAAAGGTATTTAAATACAGGTCTGTATCTTCTTCATCTTGATATTTTGCCCCAGCTCACAGCAAGATCCTATCTAAAGCAGGTACTTAAGTACTTGGATGAATAAATCAAAGTGGTAGGAGGATGACATAAAGGGAGAACGTGGCACCAAACATGTATTATCTCTGGAAGTAGTTTCTATTTTGGTGATCAAAATTTTTACAAGCATGCTAAAACAATGTACTAATTTGAGACCAACATGTATGTACCAATATTTGTCTATTAATTTCTTTGCAGACATTTAACAAAACTTTTTGGTTAAATAAAAAATTTTAAACTGCTCATTTATACTTCTAAATCAAACGCTAGGCACAGCAGATTTCTAAAATGAAAAGACTTAAGACTTACTGTTGAGCGAGAATCGTCCCTATTGAATTACAGTGAAAAATTCTTACATGACTTTTACTCAATTAGTGAATCCTTTTTCTGTTTATGTAACATTAAGATACACCTAGAACAGCAAACCAGTGGTGACCAACCACCAAAAGGTTGCCAAAACCCAAGACACGGTAGGGAAAGTGGTTCCATTCTCACCCCACCAACCCCATTACTTTTTCAAGTTATTAAAGAGAAAGGAGTAAAACTGTATGTGGAGGTGTTTTTAAGAGACATTTTCATTCCTCAGGTGTACCTTTTTCTGGCCTGCATTTTCACAACTTTAGGCTATGTCTTAAGACTGAAGTTGCAAACTGGTGGCCTGTAAACATGCTTTCTTTGTTCTGATTAGTACTTCAGATTTTTAAAATTTAATTGCCTTTACTTAAATATCAGGAAATTTTACCTAAAAAATCCTGACTTCTAGTGTCTCAGAGAATCAGAAGTCCTGGCTATACCACGCTTGCACAATAACCAACAGCCAGAGCTGAGTGGTGGCTGCCTCTTGCAGACAGGACCTGTCGTAGCTCCCACCTCTCTTATTTCTTCTCCTTGGCCACCTTCATTCATTAACATTATCCATCCAGACCCTGTAGGTACTTAAGTTTTTGGCCTCCATCCTCACCTACCTCATCTATAATCCTTTTGTGAATTAGAAGAAACTTCAATATAGAGCTCCTAAATTTCCACTGGACTTCTATAAAATAATTTATTGAAATACTACCAGGGAAGAGGAAGGAGTTCTCTGAAAAGTATGCTGGTTTTCCTCCTCATCTTTTTCATTCTTTCCCTTCTTGATTACCAGACATCAGTGATGTATGCTGACATTACCATTAAATTATTTCTAGTTTATAATTAGATATGACAAAATGTACTGATTTCTCTTCGAAGATCACCGTACAGAGTAATTTATGATGAGCAATCTCATCCATTAATGCACACCCAACCTATTTCATTGGGAAGCTGACTAAACCAACCTAAAATTAAAATTGGCACTAAAGATGCAGACAACGAATCAATCTGCAATTATGGACGATCAAGAGCTTCTAGAATAAAACTGATGGTCTGCGATCAGCAATTACTAGGAGCCAAGGTGAGTTCACCAAGAATAAGACACCAAATAGATGTCACTTTCTATTCAGATAAAATTAATACATTGGTGGATCAGAGGAATGTGGTAGAAATTATATTGATTTCAAAAGAGCCCTCCAGGAAATCTCTTATAAGACAGTAAGATACAACATGGGCTGGATAATAAAATATTTTTAATTGACAGAATAACCTTTCCCCAAGAATTCTGAATCTGCATCACTGGGAAGAGTTCTCTAGTGGAGCACCAAAGGGCTTGCTTGCTTGCGCAATCTCGCTCTCTAATCTCTGGGTATTCAACATTATTTTTTAATCAATAACTTGAAAGATAAAGAAGACACAGCTACCAAATTTGCAAATAACACAATGCCGAGAAATATATATAATGGGACAAATGACAGAAATAATGTTTGAAATGACTGAGCTAGAACAATGGATCAAAAAGCAGAATGTGACACTCAATAGAGATATATATGTATCCGCATTTAGATACAAAGAGCCAACTAAAACTGTCAAATACACAGAGAGGAGGGGACACTGCCTTAATAGCACTTTGTATGAAAAAATCTGATTTCAACCCCAAGATTAATATGCATCAACAGTGGGCTGGGGCTGCTAAAAAGTTAATTCATGCTGTAGACAGGTGCTGTCCTAACTGTGGAATATGACCGCCCACCGTTATGGACTAGTCAGATCACACCGGGAGCACTGTTCTCCATTCTCAGTGGCACTTTTTAAGAGGTACTCTGAACAACTAAGGGGCTTTCAGATGAGGAAAACCAGGAATGATGAAGTCACTAAACCATTTAAGAAAAGGCTGAAAGAAATGGGGATGTTCTACCTGGAGAAGAGAAATTTAGGGGAGACATGATGGCCGTCTTCAAATGTCTGAAGGCTATGTTGAAGAGGGAGTAGAATAGTCGTATGTTGTTCTAAAGGGCAGAACTAAAGCTAAAGGAGAGAAAGTTATAGGGAAATAATTTTAGTCCAAAAAAAAAAAAAGGCAAAAGCAAAAACCTTCTCCAATGAGGAAAGCCATCAGCAGATAAACAGTATCTCTAAACTCTATCAGGAAGGCTCACAGGAAGGCAATCTAATGGGAGGTTAGGCCAGATGAATTCTAGAATCTCTTCCAACTCTACCATTTCCAACACCGGAGCTCCTGAATGCTGTCTGGTTTGAACTAGCCTTGCACTTTCTCAGACAGTTGTCATGAGCAAATCTGTCTGTGTTACTCTTTATAAGATGCCATTCAAAAGACAGAGGCAGACCTTCACCACCAAATGAGCGCGGTGATCCCTTCAAAGCAATCACCTATGATGGCTGCATTCTTATTCCAGAGCTACTAGTGCTCAAAACATCACTGAAACTCTTTTAGAATGTCTTCAGAGTCAGTTTCTGACTCACGTAAGATACAGCCTCACTGTTTAATAGCCATGTCTACACTGCTGGTGGACACAAACTATCCTACTCATTTGGTACAGTTGGAGCCTAGCCCTCAGTAAGAGTCCAACAGTAACCCAAATAAGATCCATTTCTAACCAAAATCTGTTTAGCTTGATCATCTGTCTTAATCAAGCCCTGGTCCCAATGACATTTGAATGATTTCAAAAACGTAATTCATTCATAGACACATAAAAATTTGACATTAGATACAAATTAATATTACATAGGCTCTTAAATGTTCACAAAATGTAAAATCGATTTGAACAAAGAAAGGTAGCATGACCAGAATAAGAACATAACCTTCCAAGTTTATTGCTCTGAGGGAATGTATACAACCTATTTTTTTGTTGTTGTTTCTTTTTTAAAAGTATATTACTTTCTAGGCATACTTTATGTTTCGGGTTCAATTGTAAAGACCTCAAAAACTAGTACTATAGATCTTTTTCTTTTCCATATTCCTTTGAATCCTTATAGTTGGTTATTATCTTCATTTCAAAAAAACATTCCAGGTACTTAAAAGTAAAAGTACATTATAACTATAAATAATTTCAATAGAGGAGTTTTTCAAACCCAAGATACCGCTCATATAAGTATGGTTTTAATAAGCTGTACTATTTGAATGCAAGCTGAGTACAGCATAACATGTGGAATCAATGTGTCTTTTCCTTACTAAAGCCCTAATCTATTTCTACAACTCTCAGCCAAAAGATTTCTAATCTCCCTACATATATTATCCCCTAATATAAAAAATACTTTAACTTCCTTAATAAAAAAAAAGCTAAAATCTTACTTTATAGTCCCCTAAATATATCTATTAATTTTTAAACATTAAGGATGATTCCAGAACTAAACATTGTCACCATAGTGAGAATTTTAGTGGAAGTTAGTTGGGCATCAGTCAGCTTGTTGTCTTTGTAGTATTTGTATAATAAATAGTTAACCACTTTTTTCTTTTGTATTTTAACAGAATGCCTGGTACCCAGTAAAGAAAGTTAAGAACCTGTTAAGAACTGCAGTGAAGATTTTGTTCTTTACAGATTGCAGCAAGTCTGAGTTGAGGAAGTTCTGACAGATGCAAAATGTACACCTGTTGCAGGTGCACATACAGCGTAACCGGGCATGGCTGCGAAAACACACAGAAGGACAGGAGTTGAGTTCTTACTTACAAATATGGCACAAGTCAGAGTGTGCCAACTTAAAAAAAAAAGATTTAGGCATAAGCAACACTAAGGAAAAGGACAGTGTGGGGCATGCTAAAGTTGTGCAGAATTCCACATTTACCAAAAATATAATGAACAGCAATAGCTCCCTCCTCCCTCCCTAGAGAAAATCTAAGGAAAATCAGCTAACACTTTTGCTTTTTTGGAGGGAGGATAGAATTATCAGTACAAGGGTTTTAGTGGAATAAATATGCACAGCAATAGATGGCACCCTCATCTAAATTAATAAAAGAAAAACTGGGTAAGCCACAGCACCCACCAAAAGGTCAGAGTTTGCTAGCATTTAAATAACCATCCCCTCCTCCTCCCTCAGTATATACACATGCCTGAAAACCAGGAAGGAGAAGAGTGACAAATACACAAAAGAGTCAAAAGACGAGTATGTTCAACCCTGAGGAGATATGAACAACATCGTCTTTAATTCATCAAGCACCATGGCTCCCAAAGGAAATCAAAGTGCTTCATAAATTTCTACTTGAACCCAAAATATAGGGTTAATTTCGTCTGCTAGCAAAACACACCAGCTAAGTACGATAATATGAAACTCTGCGTAAGGGTGTAAAAAATCAACAATGGATCCAATTGATATTAGATATGAAATTTAGGGAGGCTTTCTGACTCCTTTCTGGTTGAGTGAGTTGCACTAGTTGGTACAGGCACGTGGGGCAGCCCATTTCACCTCCACTCTAACAACCAAAGTAGGGGGTCTCCAATGACTGCTCAGTGGTCAGAGCCACTCAGACATACAAGGCCATCACACCACCCCTGGAGAGGTACTGGCGCAGAACCCACTCAGAAGAGCGCCACCTGAAGAATCAATTACATCACTTCCTGTAACACCTGAACATTTTTTAGAGGCTTCTCAGTCAATGGACTGGCCCAATCTGACTTGGCTTAGCTTGTGAGATCTGATGAGACCACAGCACACCGTGGCATGGTTGTGGAGATTAGCAGCATCCCAATAATGCCTAATTCCCAACATGAAGAAAAACAAGAATTAATTTTTTAAAAGACTCTTACAGGCTCAAGACATTCCATTTTAATATCTGACTTGTGATGATGAACATATCACTGCTACTAAGTCACTGCCAGCTGTCATACTGGAATCCATCTGTTATTTTATAAGTTGAATCTGACTCTTCAACATATACAGGCTCCACCCACCAAAAAGGAGGGATGCAAAGTATGCTTAGCAACAGGGAGATGCTTCATGAGAAGTAGTTTCGGATTAACCATAAAAACAAGTGTCCATGTATGTACATTTATCATATACACACACACACACTCACACATATTGCAGTAAAATTTTAAAGATGCAGATCTAAAAACACAGTTGCAGTTATTTACAAGATTAAGACAGTGCATTTACATATTAAAAAGAAAGACACCATAGTATACAGTTAGGCAGTAAGCCTGACCAAGCAGTGCGTTTCTGGATAATTACTAAATGTGAATTATGGAGAAAAAGATTTGGTCATCTATAAGAAAATGTCAACAAAATGCCATAGAAGCCATAAAGAAAAAGTAACTTACAAAGCAGTTTTTAGAAAGACCCAGATTTTTCTCAAATTCTCTATTCTATCAGTGTTGCCCATGTCTCGGGAGAGTCTGTCTCTGTAATGATCCTCTCTGTAGATAACATACATGAAAGTTTTAAAGCAAAGGTAAACATAAAAAGTAAGGTTTTGCTTATCTAACAGTAATAGGAAGGAATGACTTCTCTTCCAATACAAATAGAATTTCAAGGGTTTGCTGCATTTTTTTTAAAGTACTAGTTAATGGAACAGCAATAAAGTTAACTGATTTGAAAAATCCGTACAAATTAACAACCTTTTGAAAAACCTTATTAGTTTGTAGCAATTTTTGAGTATTACTCTATGTTATACTGTACTTTTCATAAGAAGAAAAATAATTTAGAGAATAACATAATAATAAATAGAATAAACTGTAAAGTCCTGAGAAACGCACTGCCTGAAAAACTATCTTATCACAAAACAGAATTTATACGAACACCGTACTTGAGGAGAATGCCATTAAGAACCATGCAATTTTAAGGCAGTTAGTAAACTACAAAGATGACCACAGTTATGTGCTTGTGCATATGCATGTAGAGATATACAATAAATGTACATAAAATTTGTGGCTCATAACACTTAACATAAAACATTTATATAGAAGGAATCCCAATTACAACTACTTTTTATAGCACTAAAAAAAGACATTATATCCTGAACTCAAACATACCCATAATTTAAACAAAAATTCATAAACGATTTTAGAATCCTTCACATACTCAAGGTCAATTAATCAGCAGAAAAAATATAAAAGTTAACTTTTTGTTCATATGGAAATGCCTTATTAGCATGATGTCAATTCCATTTTATTGCAGTAAGACTATCTTTTTAATGATGGGTGAGAGGCTGAGTTTTATTGCACTATCCTATTAAGATAGTTACAGCCTGCTCAAATATAGTCAAATATTATCAGAAGCACCAGTGATATAATTTTCTTCTGGTACCCAAACCAAACCTGCATTTACTCAAACTTGTCCCTTCTCATTACAAAGTCTCTTTCTGTTGCTGAACAACTTCTATGTGACGGAGATTCCACCCTCATGGCTAATAAAGGCATGCAATGTTACCACAAACCATGCAAAACGAAAATCATGGCAGAGCAAGTACTTACGGGTACATGGCCATTGTTGTCAATTTAACAAAGATGTCTTTACTGGGTGCATCAGCAGTATTGCAAGTGAAGGCTTGTGGTGGAGGCATTTTGTGTTTCCTGCAGAAATCAGTAGGTGAAATGCTATATTCTTGTCTGACTTCATGCAGGTCTGACTTTGCAGCTACGATTAAGCAAGGTATTCTGCTGTCCATAAAGTGTTGCTACAGAATAAAAAGTGAAATCAAAATCTGATGACAAGTTCAAAAATTACTAAACTTAATTAAATGGGCACTAAAAATTTTCTCTAGATAGGCAAAGCATCAACAGTTTCAGGGAGAAAGTAAACTAAGAGGCAAAGACTGGCAGTTGTCTAGGTCAGTAGCATAATAAGACCAGGGCCACTTTTCTAATGCTGGTAACAATATAACAATTCTTCAAATTCACTACAATTTGAAAAAATTTTTTTTCAAAAAGAAACAATACTCTGAAATAAAAAGAAATCTACCTAAATTCTCCCTCCTAAAGCACACTATTTTCATTTTTTGATATTACCTCTAGTCCTTAAGTACATGCATATATATATGTTTACATAGTTGTAGTCATGCTGGACATAACCATTTAAAAATATAATACTGAATTTTCCATGTTTTCAGAATTCAAAACCATTATTTTTAATGGCTACATAAATTTCATAGGATCATTTTGTCTCAATTTGGTAAACTATCCTCCTATTGTTAGACATTTGGATTATTTCCAGGTTTTTGCTATTAAAAACAATGCTAGAGTAAATTCCTTCGTATATACAGTTTTTTAACTCTTATTGAATCTTGTTGATAATCTCAAAATAACTGATAACTTTTCAAGCCTCTGGTTTATCCCCTTGCTCTATTATTATTCTTGGTATAACGGGCAACATATAATCCATGTGCACTCCTAAGACCTTCCATTAATGCAGAGGTTCTTAACCAGGAACGCACATCAGAGTCACACGTGGAAAAAAGTACTTTTAAAAATGCAGATGTCTGCGACTCTACCACCTCAGAATGAAACCAGAACCTTTAGGGATAGGACACAAATGTATGTATTTTTGAAAAGCTCCACAAATAATTTTCTTGCATTTCCCTGGTTAGAAAACACCACATTACAATTCCATTAAACTCCTTATAAAGTTAAACTTGGTTTTAGACCAAAAGAGCAACAAACCTTAAAAATCCTGGCACAGTATTCAAAGGATTTAGGGTTACTGACATCATATACCAGGCACACAACATCACAAAGGATCTCAGCCTCAGTTAGAAATTCCGATTCTGAGATATCATGCAACTTGTAAAAAGAAAAAGACAGAAACATAAGTATCATAACACTGATGTAAAATTAAAGTCATGATGTTTTATTATTTGCTTAACTTGACTTCCTAATTTAAAAATACTAGTTAAGCATAAATTTTCAGACTATTTTTGGAAGTAAGACATATAGATAAACAAGTAGTTTCTGATTTTTGAAGATGAAAAATGGTGATTAAGGTCCTACAGAAACTAACATTTAGTGAGTGACTAAAGTGTGCTAGGCAGGCCCTTTACATGCATTCTCTATATACTATAGATAAGAAAACAGGCTAAAGAGATTAGGTCAACTGCCAAAGATAGCACAACTAACTAGTCATCAGACCAAAAATTGAACTCAGATATGATTCCCAAGTCTTTTTTCTTTTTACCATACGACCTTTCCTCCCCAATCAAAAACACAAAGGAAAAAAAAAAAAACAACAAACCACAAAGCAAAGGACGGTACATTAAGGTTATTTTGTTCTACTTCACTGCCTACTCTTTTTCAATGTTTATTATAAAATCTCTACAGAAACATCCCATCTGTGATATGATAATGATCCAACAAGCGTAAAATTCAGTACTGAGCTATATAAGATAGTGCTTCTTTGTTGAGGAGAAGAAAAGGGAAGTGTAAAGTCAGAGGTGACTCAATATATTCCAAATAAAACACTATTAGAGCATGGATATTCAGAGACATGAAAGACATCAATTTGCAATGAATGGTTGTAACAATAAAACTGGAAAGTTAACAATCAGCAAGATTTACTGAGTACCCAATATACAGAATTATACTTAGGAGAAGAATGAGAGATAAACAGGTTTAACAAGAAACTGACAAAGAACTTTTATCATAAAGAGCAAAATATGCATAAAATTCAACGTGATTATCTGTCTAGCAGAATAAACTACTTCCAAAAAGAAAAAAAAAAGGGAATGAACTTTCTTTAGTACCTATTTTTTGTCAGGAGCTTCTCATATTAGTTAACTTAATAAGAGACTCAGACTCAGAGAATAAGCAATTTGCCTGAGGTCACAGAGCTGATCAGTGGTGGACCAGCATTCAAACCCAAATCAGACTGGATCCAAAAAGAACATAAAACCTCTTTTTACTATTTCATATTATCTTTTCAGTCATACCATTCTTTCCATCATTTTTTAGGCTACCACACTTGTTAAATACACTCCTCCCTGCTAAATAGATACAACCTGATTCAATTACAGATTAAACTACCCCACACCTGCACAAAGGTCTTCAAACTAATTTCTAGTCAACAATAGAGGACATAATTTTTAAAAATAAAAGTGGAAGAAAGAGCAAAGAGGATTTAATTTTTTTTTTAACTTTCTTATGGTGGTATAACATACAATTAAGCACACAGATAGATGAATTTTTACTTATATCTACACCCATGTAATCACCACATGGATCAAGGGAATTAAAATTAATTCTAATGAATAAACCAGGTAAAAAAATAAATCACACAAAAACCATTAAGTTAAATCTAATTATGTTTTCAAAGAGTCATTTAAAATGTACCCAATAATTAATAATCTTTATATGCCAGAAAATTTCTTACCAACAAGTATTTCTCTTGTCCGTATACATAAACAGTGTTAATTGCATAGTATGATTTATGGTCATCACGAATTTTCTTCTGCCTCTGAAAACAACCAAAAACATCTCAGTATTTATAGTATTACAGGAACTAGTTTCCATCAACACATGCGCTCTGCATGTATGGTGTGTTACCAAAAAAAGGACATTCTTCCCTACACTATGTATTATTTATCAATACAAAGGGGATATTGATTTTGTTTCTTAGTTCTTAAGGTCTAAAATAAAAGATGCATTTGTTCTGCATACAGGGAAAGCAGTAGCTGAAAAGGAAGTAAACAATATCACTGAAAGTGTATTCCAGAGCCACCTGCTGGCGATTCTCCTTACACTATAATTTGGCCTGCTATTTCATCTACAAATATGTCAATCTCCTTACTCAAGTCAGTAGTCAGAATTAGGTATCAGTATTCGGTTCAAAATATTCACTGTACATTTACTTCATGCCAAGCACTGTGTTTGATGCTTTCATATGTGTATTTATTTAACCCCCATCTAAAAGCTGTTTAAAAAAAAAAAAGACAAATGATAGCTAACATCAATGAAGCAAAGATAAAGCTAGCTCAATGAGATTATTGTTACACTTTAGTTGTACCTTACTATTATACATAGGTCACTCAGTTCTACTAATCATCTAAAAGGGTAAATGGTTATGAAAAAATTATGTAAACTCAGTGACTATAAAAATCTGTTGAGTATAGCTCTATTTCTTGAGAACTCTCACCATTAAGTTTCTTCCAAGAAGAGCCTGAAGAACTCCACTTTTCCCACAGTTTTTCATCCCAATTACATTACATCGGAACACATTTCTTTGAGTCTGTTTTTTCTGAAGGTCTATCTTTTTATCTCTTGTTACTAAAAAGAAAAAAAAAGCTAATTATGTACTGCTTAGATTTACTGAGCCTTCATTTCACATTCTGCAAAATAGGGTATTGCTATTTATCATTTTTACAAAGTGTTCGATCAATAAACATACTGTACAGTAGTCAAGCGGTATGTGAAATAAAGTACAAAATATAATACAGAAGGGCCCCACTTAGTGAAAAAGATGCATTTCTGAAAGTCGGCTGTAAACTTCTAGTAACCAAATGATATTCATTTCATCATAAAATAAGTAGTATGTTTACATAACAAAATGATATCTGAAAAATGAATGAAAATTACAATGAATACAGCCAATACTATATCCCATCTTTTTTTCTGTTATAAATTATTGTCATAACAAATTATAAACTAAAAGATGCTATCTCAAAACTGCACTCTCTTGGGTCTATAAATGGAAAGAGGATATGCACGCTAGGGTTAACTGGCCTTTCTAAGGTAAATCTGTAAAAGAGGCAGCCCTGAAAACAATGTTGTATCAGCAGAGCAATGAGGCATGTCTTCTTTTTTTTTTTTTTGCGGTATGCGGGCCTCTCACTGTTGTGGCCTCTCCCGTTGCGGAGCACAGGCTCCGGACGCGCAGGCTCAGCGGCCATGGCTCACGGGACCAGCCACCTCGCGGCATGTGGGATCTTCCCGGATGGGGCACGAACCCATGTCCCCTGCAACGGCAGGCGGACTCTCAACCACTGCGCCACCAGGGAAGCCCGAGGCATCTCTTCTTGAGGTAAAGAGACCTCCTTTAACTATACCCAAAGATTCAACTACAAGAAAGCTCACCAAGAGGCACTATTTATAGCAAAAAAACCTGAAAGTGATAAAAAACAGATAATAATTATGGGGTAGTTAAGTTATAGAATATCCATATGACGATACTTTATCTAATATTAAAGATATAATATTATAAATATTATAGATATATTAGTATACTTATTGATTATAGAAATATGGCCACAATATTTTGTTGAGTGAAAGAACCTCATGCTGGCTAATTAGTTCCTTAGTCTTTGGTGCTGCATTAAATACTGTCTAACTGGTTAAGTACTTTGAAGGGTACTTGCTCTGTCAATTTCACAAAGGCTGTCTTCCTGTAATGGGGCTTCCTGTAAGATATGGCATTTTTCCCCACAAATCAGGATATAAGAACTTCTTGAAATGATCAGTTCCCTAATTTGTTATTTCTATGGGTTTTCTTTAAGTGGAGCACATTGCCTGGCAAGAATGCCTGGTTAACATTACAAGATATGTGAAAGATTTTTTAATGTGGAAAAAGGTTATAAAACCGAGAGATGTACAATCAGTTGAATACCAGGATCATGTGTTAATAGGCACTGTTTTTAATGTTTAAAGAAAATTAAAACACAAGATAGACTGGTAAATACTTTTCATGCCCATAGCCCTCCCTGATTTTCATCAATGAAGTACCCTCAGGGGGAGACTAGAGGTAAAACCTCTACTCTTTCCTTTTTGATAAACAATTAAATCAAGCAGCTTACCTCAAAAGTGATTACCAAATCAAGGGAAAACAAATCGTATAGACACGGAAGACTAATGCATTTAGTTTTACTCTTTTTACATATGAAACTGGAATCCTAAAAAAAATTTTTTTCTAATTAAATAGCATTCAGATACTTACCTGTGATGGCTGAAGCTTGAGACTCTTGCTCAGTCAATATTGAATAGCCTAGATAACCCAAATACTCCAGGCATCGCTGCACATCTAAATAGGTCGTGAGCCTAGGAAAGGGAAGAGTTTAAAATGTGAAAAGTTCCTAAATGAGTATTTATTTTAAAAACAATTACAACAGCTCAAATAATTTTACCACTAGACCCAGATAATTTTTGTCAGACTGCTTTAATTTCCCATGTGCCCAACCATGGCTTTTCCTACAGTGACATCCTTAGGGCAGAAATGAAAGGGAGGAGAATGCAAGATGTGGGGTGGAAGGGGCTCCTGTATCTATTCCACCTGCCCGGAGAGAGCAAGGCCACACAGATGAGCAGTGAGCAGCTGGTAAGATCTAGAGCAGGGATATTTTATATTATTTGCTTCCCAAGTTACATATTGTACTGCAAATACTGGCTAGTTAAGGACTTAATGATAATTAAATCTGAAAAGGTTTGCAAAAAGTGAAAAAAATAACTGAAAGGCTAAAAGACACTTGAAAATAGTTAGCCTTTCGTATGATCTGAAAAAAGAACAGATCCTGGTGTTGAGAAAGTTATTTTTGCCAAGGCTAAAGTAATTATGTCATTATGCACAACCAGAGAATTTTTTTAGCACCCTAGACAATAGGTCAACAAGACTGCAGACACCCTCACTAAGTCTAAGAGTTCACTGAAAACAAACAACAACAAAAAAACCCTCAAAGTAAGAATTCAGTGTCAAGTAAAATATGCTCTCCCCATATTCTGAAAATACAAGATTTGTACAATAACAATGATGTTTCCCTTAATCAAAAGTATTAAAACACACTGTAAATCAACTATACTCCAATAAAAAATTTTTAAGTATTAAAATTTACTTCCATTTTTATATGACTTATTACTGTTTCCCTGTACCTCATCCAAAAGCAAACACATCCCTTCCTGATAAATTTATAGAACATCTATAGTTCATCTCAGAGGTAGCAGCAGCACTATAAATCCTGCTCACAGGCAGCTATCATTGAAGCACTTCACAAGATCTGACAAATATACAAAATGATGAATGTAATGCACCATAATTTCAAACTAGCTGTAACTCTAGAGGAAAGAAGTGAGCTCTATACTCACGTCCACTGGGAAAGGAATCCCTGGTAGGTTATCCAGCCTTTTTCATTCGTACAAACTGTGTTATTCACATCTGGCCCCCAAGGTATGTAAGGGAAAACTTTAAACAAATCTTTAAGCTCATCAGGTGACAAAGCACAGTCTCTATCCTGAAGATACACAAGAAAGTATACATAACACTTAGATATCTAAGAGGATAATTCCCAAATGCAAGAGCCCCCTAATCAAGTAAAGCTATGTTTCTAAAAACTAACAAATGAAAAGAAATTTTACATTTTATCAAGAAAACTCCTTACACATATATAAGGAAACCTATGCAAGGGTCTATCAGAAACTAGACTTCTTCATCTTGAGAAAATAATAAAGTAAATAATATGAGAAAGTATCTTTGCTAGTTTAAGAAAGTTTGGGTAATTTTTGGCTATGTGACAGGAATGCCCAATAGCTCAGGGATCAGAGTTACATCATTCACAGGAAAATATTTTATCATATATCATGGAAAACTGCAGCTAAAAGCTTACCAAATCATGCTTGTCAAAAGTACTTTGGAGAAACAAATATGCGTGATGATTTAATTCAGTAGTGCAATCAGGAGGTATTTTTAGCCTGTTGATGAAAAAAAAAAGTAAAATAAATCATTAACCAAATATTAAAATTTAACTGGAGAAATGAACATGAAATTGCAACAAGTATTTTTGTAGGATGACAGCATTTACAGAACATGTTTTCTGTAGCCATTTAGACTTGCCCAGGGAAAGTCACTGCAGTGGTATGGCAATTCTCAGAAGAGTCATAATAGTGCTCACTCCAACGTGACAGTTTTCTTAACTATCTGAAGGGCAGGTTGTATTAAAAAATTTACAGACAATACTGATTAAACTGTAATGGGTTGTTCTTCCTACAAACCAATTATAAGTCAAAATTATGAGCTTTAAACAATGTCAACATTGTAATGTATTGAAAATGATGTGAAGAGATGTTATTTCTGCCTGATTTGACATTTGACACACCCTAAATTCGAGTCAATAAACATTTATCAAATGCACAGAGGTACTGGGGACATAAAAACAAGACAGGCTCCCTACCTCTAAGGAACCACATTCAAGCTGGAGACAGACCACAAGTAGATAACCTCACTATCTCAACAGAATGAGGCAACTGTTGAGTATGGGTAAATTACAGATGCTAGGGGAACCCTTGTAAAAGGGAACACTTTGGCCTGGGGATGGGAAGGTGTCAGCACTGCTGAGAGACACTGTCACCTGTATTGAGACTTGAAGGATAACAGACATGAATTAGGTTGGGGGGAGAGGGAGGAAGAGAGTAAAAATACCATGGGCAAAAGCCTGGAGTGGGAAACAATATCTGATTGGTGGACCAGAAATAGTTTAGTATTTACTTCTAGAATGAAGGCAGGGAGTGAGCTGGAGTGAGCAGATCATGAATGACCTCCTACACCAGGTTAAGAAGCTTAGGCTTTATCTTGTCTTGAAGGGTAAGTGACATGGCAAAATCCATGTTGTATATCTATTAATCTAGCAGCAGTGTGAAGGACAGGGGCAGAGAGTTCAATAAGAAGACTCAAGTGGTGGCTTTGAAGGGGCTCTTTACAGAAAATTAAAGGTAGAGCGCAGAAAGAAACTAAAAGAGATCTTAGTGTAAGTCACAAAGCCATAAAAGATGGAGTTTCCTTATTGTCATACTTTAGAAAGCAATAAGCAACCTCCCGTAGAATCTATCTACCCACATAAATTGGCACAGAAAAGAAAACTTGATTAAAAAAAAGTCCTGGGACAAATGCATTCATTCAATATATATTTATTGAAAAACCTGGGAAATTACTTGAGCCAAGATTTAATAACTTTGACAAGGGAAGTTTTAACTTAGAACTGATTAATAGACGAGGAATCCAACTAGAAATTTTGCTTCCTTAATGATGGGGAAGGAAAAACAACAACAAAGTTTTTCTGAAGCCTTACATGGATAGCTAGCAATGCTATGCTAAAATTAAAAAGGAGAACATGAAGATAATGTGCTACTGAAAAAGCGAAGAAAAAAGGCGAAAGGCTCAAAGGCCAGATCTTGGCAAGTCACTTCCCTGAAAAGCCTACTTCCCTTGGGTATGGGAGAGGCATCCTACAGCAAGGCAGTCTCCTATTTCAGGGTGATGCTGGGTTCATCATTAAACATACAAAACTTAAACATATCATTATCTAAAGAAAAACAACCACAAAGAGACTGGTCGTTTAGGAAAAATACTTATTTTATCCTGAGCTGAGAACAGGCTATAAAACTTAGGGAGGAGAAGGACTAAAGAAAAGAAAAACGCTAACCAATATATTTCTGATCCCTTGACTCTAAAAACAAGTTCGTCTAGCATCTTTTATCTCCTTCCTCAATAAAATGAATTTAAAAAGGTACTTGTATTCTTCATTAGAAGAAGAGGAAGAGTTTGAGCCATGCTATAAATCAGTGGCTCTCAATTGGGGATGACTTCACTCCTAAGGGGACATTTTTGGCTGTCACGACTGGGGGAAGAGGTGCTACCGGCATCTAAGGATGTGCTAATAAACATCCTATAACTCGTAGAACAGGCTCTACAATAAAGAATTATCTAGTCCAAAATGTCAATAGTGCCGAGTTTGAGAAACCCTGCTATAAACGGCTCTATAAATCTATAAGTTATTCCTGAGTAGCTCAGAGCCTACCTATCAATGTGCTAAATAAAAACTTTAAAATACTGGCAAGTGAAATCAATTAGAAGCCAAAGGTACATACAAGGGAAATAAATATTCAGGTGTCAAATCCAGATCGTCATCATAACCAAATCGTCGAAGCACAGTCCAAGTAGTTTCATGTCTCCCTCTCTGAATAAAAAGTGTGTGTAAAAAAAGAAAACCTGAAATAAAATAAATCAGTAAATATAGCTGATGTGAAAATGGGTAGAGTCACATGGAAGAAAAGCATGTAACACATAACGGCAAGAGCTAGACTCCTGAACATATGTGTACTAGTTTTGCATATGGAAGGTCAAACCAAAACAATGCTCACAAGTGTCTCAAAGAGTTGATTTCAGAATCATTTCACAGATACACCCAGGTCAGCAAGAGATGGCACTACATGAAAGGGCCAAAAACATATCCCAAGGAATATACTGACATTCACATGGTTATATGATAAAAACAAATGAAATCATTTTAATTTTAAGATAAATTTGTTTCTGAAATCTCTTACCCTCAGATGGACCTCTGCACTCCTGAGACCCAATCAATTTCCCTGCCTCTAATTTATACTCACAGCAAAGATAATTATCCCCACCAACGTCTGCCTCTTCCAACTCTTAAACATCCAGGTTAGATTTTAGGTATATTAGTAAATATAAACATTTCCCTAAATATAGATAATACTATAGACTTTTGCCTTCTGCTAAATTTTGAAAATATTAAATTCAAAAGGGGGAAAAAGCACCATTCACCCACCTTTCAGTGTCAATCCACTATCAGCCACACCATCACTTATATGTTTTCTGACTACATTTTTGACATCTTCTAGAGCTTGAGGAGCTAACGGAGTGTTGAAACAAATTCTCTAGCAAAAAAAATAAAAATAAAGTTAAAAACAAATCAGCATTAAACCCACAAATAGTACAAGTATTAATCCACAAAGCAACATTAAATCAAAGAGTTGCAACCAAAGGAAACATATTCTGAATTAGCAGAGTCTCTACTTTGTATTAAGTAAAACATGTCATACTTAGGACATGTTTTCCCTACTCTCCCCATCATGTTCCTAAAACACAGAGCTCTTTGTGTAGCTATGTTATACAAAACCGAGAAAGAAAAATAATTCAAAGTTCAGACTTCAAGTCATCCTTAATAAACCCACTGTACACCATGAAATGACACTCTCAGAGTCCCCTCAACTCCTAAGCATAAGAGAGTTTTATCCCCTAGGTAAAGATTAAATAGCCTGATGTGAAAGAGAGTTTTTACATGAAAGAGATGCATGTTTATCAAAATACCATTGTTCAAGCCAATAAATTTTTTCTCTTCTCAGCAAAAAAAGACCAAGATACACAAATATCTGAAATAAAAGGCTACCTGAAAGAAGTTGAGTTCAGCATCATTGAGAGTACCATCATTATCTTGATCAGATATTTTAAATATACGAGTAAGGGCTTTTATACAGGCTGGTTTCATCTATAAATCATTGAGAAAAGAAACAATCGTTTTAATGTAAATAGCTGGGATTTTAAGATATGATTTTCATAAATATGCTGAGAAGAATACTGAATGTTTTCACTGCCAAATACATAACATCAAATACAACCAACATGAAAAATGAACTAAAGCAAAGCCATTTCCTTTTATACCCAAGCCACTTTAAGTAAATGAGGCAATATTTACTTGGACCGATCTGGAATGCTTAAACTCTCCCTTCATGACCACACACCCTCTGAAGATGGGCAAAAGAGAAATTCATCTTTAGGGAAGATTCATTCTTCCAGTCATATAAAGAAGAAATGCCCTCTCTCATTCCATAAAGAATTTGAGCTGACATAAAACTACAGTAAAGGCTTTTCCCCCCCAACTTCTCTGATTTTTGACCTTCTAGCAGCAAAATGGGACTAAATGTTTTGGTCTGTCACGTGTGTGTGTATATATCAAAGCTGGGATATAAAATGTACTGATTCGCAAGCAGGTGACAAAATAGCACTGGTCGATAAGTGTACAAGTCTTTTACTAACTTCCTATTATGAGATAAGAATTACATTTAAAAAATTACATTTTTGACACTACAACTTTTAAAAGAAAAGCTGCTGGAAGTGTACTTTGACAACTTTTATTTTAGGATTTATAACGGATAGAACAAATATTTGACTATTTAAAAATAAGCCCCAGGGGCTTCCCTGGTGGCGCAGTCGTTAAGAGTCCGCCTGCCGATGCAGGGGACACGGATTCGTGCCCCGGTCCGGGAAGATCCCACATGCCGCGGAGTGGCTGGTCCCGTGAGCCATGGCCGCTGAGCCTGCGCGTCCGGAGCCTGTGCTCCGCAACGGGAGAGGCCACAACAGTCAGAGGCCCACGTACCGCAAAAAAAAAAAAAAAAAAAAAAAGTAATTGAAGAAAAACAGTGATGCATTTTTCATTAAAGCTTGAAATGCATCAGAAGCAAAAGTACTCTAAGGTATTAGCTCAATACAATATTTAAATATTAACCTCTTAAAATATAACACCAAAAAATGACTACTTTTTAAAAGTATTAAAAATTATACTTTAATAAAACTAAAATATTTTGGCAGTAATAAAATAAACTCATTTTGCATATAAAGTAATCTAAACCCTCACACAGATCTTTTTCATTGTTAGGTAAGCAGAGGACTCCATGGGTCATACAGAGTCCGTCATCACTGGAAACATTTCGAATTCAGGCTTTAATTTAGAATATGATCTTTTTCATGATCCTACCTCAAATCTGTGTTAAAAGCTTATTAATGTTGTCTCAATAAAAGATTCTGTTATAAGCTTAGACTCAAGGCTTGTACTTGTATAAATCAAGGCATATAGTCTCTAAAAGTTACAGATTTTACCTTAAGCAGGTCCACCTAAGAAATGACTAACAGATGGTAGTAGGTGTTTTACAGGGAAGGGAGGATTAGCAGATTAGCAGAACTAATAATAGGCCTAAGAAAAAAGTAGCAATTAGAGAATTGAGAACAAACTAACAGTGGCGATTGAATGTACTGCTAGGCTAAGCTGAGAAGTAAATCTCTCCAGTATGAGACTGTTTCCCAAATTTTCTTGATCGTAAGATATAGCACCTGGCTGAATCAGAATAGAATCTGTATTTTTTTTTTTTTTTTTTTTTGCGGTACACAGCCCTCTCACCAGTGCGGCCTCTCCCGTTGCGGAGCAAAGGCTCCGGACGCACAGGCCCAGCGGCCATGGCCCACGGGCCCAGCCGCTCCGCGGCATGTGGGATCCTCCCAGACCGGGGCACGAATCCACATCCCCTGCATCAGCAGGCGGACTCTCAACTACTGCGCCACCAGGGAAGCCCCTGGAATCTGTATTTTTAACAAGTACACCTAGTGACTATTATGAGGTGAATTTGGGAAATACTGAATTAAGAGCAAGTTAGAAATAAACACTCCAATTAAGGAACAGTAAACCAGGATTAAGGAAGAGTAAATCAGGGTCAGATTAAGGGATAACTCAGATTAATATTTATACCAGGGGTCAGCACTTTTTTGGTAAAGAGCTACATAGCAAATACTTTAGGCTTTGCGGGTCAACAGGCAAAATCAAGGATATCATGTAGGTACTTACATAGCAAGAGATAATCAAAGTTTTTATTAATGAAATAATAATAATTTATTAATGAAATTAAATAATAATTTATTAATTAAATTAAAAATATAGTAATAACTGAATATACCTTTACTATACAGGTCTACTAATGAGAAGGATGGAATTCCTCTTAGAGGGATAACATTTGGCTTAATTAGGGTTCAAAGTTAATGTTCCTTATCTTGTAATAACCTATAATGGAATACAATCTGCAAAAAACCCCACAAAAACAAAAACAAAAAACAAATCACTATGCTATACACCCGAAACTAACACAATACTGTAAATCAACTATACTTCAATTAAAAAAAAAAGTCAGCATTCCCTATCATGAAAATCAACTGCAAGTGTTCAGCTATTAATGCTGATCTGTAATGAGATTTTACATACTTCATCTTTGAAAATGTCTTTTTGCACAGATACACACTGCCAATAGTGACACATATCTGTAAACATACAACTTTAATTGAGCACATTCATCACTTGGAAGGCATTTACAGAATCATATTTGATTTTTTTCTTGATATTGTCTGTTAACACATCATTACACTGCAGATTGATCAGTTCCAGCTGAAGGCTGGGTGGAAGCTCCTCAACTGCATGGTCAAACGGATTAGGAAATTTCCTTTGTGCGTGCATTTAGGTCCAAAAAAACCAATGCTGAAATTAGAGCTCAGAATATATATCTGTTTTGCCATCTGAAAACCCACTTTTTTCTTTTCTTCTTTTGGCATGATAGGTATATACTGATAATAAAAAAATAAAATGCCGCAGTACAGAGGTACACATGGTACATGAAATGCTGCTGCATTTGAACCATGTCAGTCCAGTTAGCAGTGCACTGAGCAGCAGTGTTATGACAGTTACCACATATAAGCTCTGTTGCAACTATGCAACTCTGCCTTTGTAACAGGAAAGTATAGACAAATATAAAGGAATGAAGGTGGTTGTGGTACAATAAAACTTATTTATCAATGGTGAAAATCTGAATGTCATATAATTTTCCCATATCTCAAAATATTATTCCTTTTGATTTTTTCCCCAATCATTAAAGAATGTAAAATGTATCTTAGCTCATAGGCTGTATAAAAACAGGTGGCAGGCCAAATTTGGCCTGTGGGTCAGTTCTACAACCACTCACCTATACTATAAACTTTTCCTGAAAAAAATGCTTTCAGGAAACTTTTTTCCCCCCAGCAAACTTTCATTTCTTAAAAACTCAAATACAACAACAAAAGAAACAAATAACTCCATTAAGAAATGGGCAAAATACTCAAATAGACCTTTCTCCAAAGAAGATATACAAATGGCCAATAAGCACATGAAAAGATGTCCAACATCATTAGCCATCAAAGAAATGCAGTTCAAACAACGAGAGCTTCCCTGCTGGCACAGTGGTTGAGAGTCCGCCTGCCGATGCAGGGGACACGGGTCCGTGCCCTGGTCCGGGAAGATCCTACATGCCGCGGAGTGGCTGGGCCCGTGAGCCATGGCCGCTGGGCCTGGGCGTCCGGAGCCTGTGCTCCGCAGCAGGAGAAGGCCGCAGCAGTGAGAGGCCTGCGTACCGCAAAAAAAAAAAAAAAAAAAAACCAACAACAACAACAAAAAAAGAGATACCACTCACATCTACCAGGATAGCTATAAACAGACAAACAGAGGTGGGGGCTGGGGAATAACAAGTGTTGGCAAAGATGTGGAGAAATTGGGACTTTCATATAGTTTAGTGGTTCCTCGGTAAGTAAAACAAAATTACCATGTGACCTAGCAATTCCACTGCTAAACAGACACTCAAAACAGGGGTTCAAACTTATGTGCAAATGTTCTTAGCAGCTCTTTTACGACAGCCAAAAAGTGGAAGCAACCCAAATATCCAACAACAGATGAATGGATAAACAAAATGTGGTATATCCATAAAATGAAGTATCATTTGACCATAAAAAGGAATGAAGTACTAATAATGCTACAACGTGGATGGATGTACCTTGAAAACGTTACACTAAGTGAAAGAAGCCAGACACAGGGATTTCCCTGTTGGCACAGTGGTTAAGAATCTGCCTGCCAATGCAGGGGACATGGGTTCAAGCCCTGGCCGAGGAAGATCCCACATGCCACAGAGCAACTAAGCCCATGCATCACAGCTACTGAGCCTGTGCTCTACAGCCCACGAGCCACAACTACTGAGCCTGCGTGCCACAACTACTGAAGCCCGCATGCCTAGAGCCCATGCTCCACAACAAGAGAAGGCACCACCATGAGAAACCCATGCACCACAACAAAGAGTAGCCCCCATTTGCCACAACTAGAGAAAGCCATGCGCAGCAACAAAAACCCAATGCAGCCAAAAATTAATTAATTAATTAATAAAAAAATAAATAGGCACAATACTCTTAGATAGCCTCATCCACCAGAGGGCAGACAGCAGAAGCAAGAAGAACTACAATTTTGCAGCCTGTGGAAGGAAAACCACATTCACAGGAAGACAGACAAAATGAAAAGGCAGAGGACTTTGTACCAGATGAAGGAACAAGATAAAACCCCAGAAAAACAACTAAATGAAGTGGAGATAGGCAACCTTCCAGAAAAAGAATTCAGAATAATGACAGTGAAGATGATCCAGGACCTCGGAAAAAGAATTGGAGGCAAAGATTGAGAAGATGCAAGAAATGTTTAACAAAGACTGGGAAGAATTAAAGAACAAACACCTAGAAGAATTAAAGAATGAACAAACAGAGATGAACAATACAATAACTGAAATGAAAAATACACTAGAAGGAATCAATAGCAGAATAACTGAGGCAGAAGAACGGATAAGTGACCTGGAAGACAGAATGGTGGAATTCACTGCTGTG